CTGTCTATAAATACAGCAGAGAAGCTAGCACAGCTATGGTCTGTTTGATTTGTTGATTTGAATTTTGTTTGTTCTTTTAATGTAATTTAATGTTCTGAGAAGCTGTTAACGTTAACTGCACGGGTGCTTCTCCTTGACCATATTATCTCCTTAAGTGCACGTAGCCACTCACACATATCACCCTTTTAATTGATGATACACAGTAATAATGTCACACTTTTTGGCCACAGTCCTTTGTCCCTCGTGTCTTGGCCTTTGACCAGTACCACGCTCTCTCTCTCTCACACACACACACACACACACACACTGTGCTTCTACACACTTGAGTCTTTTGGAGCTTGTGTTGAGTTGACCCACTTTCCCTCACTGGCAGCATTGACGCTTTGTTAGGATGATCATCAGTGATGTCGAACAAGATACTGATTTGTTACTTTACGTTAAAACTCTTCATGAGTTGGCTTTTCTCTTGGTGGTCGAGTATTGTCATCTTCACGGTTGGTAGTAAATATTTTTCAGTGAGTTGTGCACCTTCTGTTGTAGCCCTGAGGACAAGCTTAACCCACTTTGTCCTCATTTGAAGATTAAGGTGAGATTAGTTGTAGTTCGTATCCTATTACAGGTCCTCCTGTTTGTGTCTGCTCAGGTCTCTGTAGCTCAATTTTGGGCCAAGACATTTAGTTTGCCAGCATCAAGCACAAGGTAAAGCCTTGGATTTGAAATGGATCCTAATAGATTGATTTTAATTCGTCAGTAAGGTAATCAGCAGATGACAGTTAAGGTGTTATGAGCTCATTCTCCAAATAATATGCACCGATGACGACCCCAAGTTTGAAGCATTCACCCCCAGACCTGTTTTTTCTTGTTTGAAACTAACTTTCCAGATTTATATCCTTGTTATCTTCTTTCCAGATGATTAAAAGCTACATATATGTGGTTGTTTGGCTCCGACTCAGTGGAGTACAGTACTGGCTTCCAGGCTGCAGCTGGTTGAACGGGGGCTGCATGTGAGGCTTCTGTGTTTTAATGCGTGCGGGTGTGTAGGGCCTCTACCAGTCACTGCAGGCAATGAGCGTCATCTCTACAAAGATGGCAGCTCTGATGTCGGACTACACATTTTAAATGGGAGAGAAGTCATTTTTTTAAAACATGATTTTTATTGATGGATTTAGAATTTTAGTAAAGATTTTTCTGAATGTGTTTTTTTTTCACTTTGATGTAAATAAGTACATAAGGTCATTGTCTTTTGGATTCAGACGATTCCCCCGAAGTGACAGACTGGCACCCAGTTTGATCCCTGTGTGCCTGTGTTTACCAGTGACCTCATTGTTGAATCCTGCTTTTATCCTAATCAATCAATTGATTTTTGTGACATTGACAGCTTCACTTAAAAAGCACCCCTGCGACTCATATTACAACCCAGAGGTTCAATTTCTGTCGATGCAGAAGCACAGGAATGCACTTTATTAGCAGTCTGGAGCTATTTGAGTCGGGGTATTCTATTTATATCCATCACAGGAATATATTTCTCATTTCTGGGGTTCAGTCAGGCCTGAGAGAGGAATTTAGTTTCCTCTTCAGACTGTCAAGTTTAAGATGTTATCAGATATTTTGTCACAGATATTTTTTAGTAGCTGCTAGAAAAAGTCCCTGTGTGGTTTTTGGAATAAGACAAATGGGGTTTTTGTAATGAGCCAGTACTTTCATAGAAGCTGCCAATCTGACAACATTTTAGGCCAAACTCAGTTACAGACGATGAAAACAAGACTGTAGGTTTGACTTTGGCACATACAATAACTGCCATCTGCACTACGTGTTGCTCAGGCTATTTATAGGCTTTTTATGTTTGTTTCTATTGTAGTATCACCATCATGTTCTCAGTGTTTAGAAGGCAGACGATTTTTGAGTTTCATCAGGAGTGATGCTTCTTATTCTAAATAACATTTTCTATCTGACCTGCATCCACAGTATCAGCTTTTATATCTGTCACCCTGTTACCGTGAGATGATGACACATATTGTCAGTGATGGCGCTTCAATCCAGAGCGGCATTTTCTCCGTCCTCAGCACTTTCCAGTTGACTTCACAGATAAATGCAGACTTGACAGTTTTTGACCAGCAGATATGAAAGAGAAGCATCGTGTTCTGTCCTGCTTTGAACTCAGACTGGAGGAGGCCGAACATCCGCTCCTGTGGTGGAAGACCTCGAGATTTTCAGCTCTGCTTATGTAACTGTCTGTGTTGTGATGGCTTTGCTCTACTACTGCAGTGAATGCTGAAGGCTGCTTAGCGGACTGCTTTGAGAACTCAGATAACCACAGGGATGCCTTGGGCTGAGCGATAACTCGGAGCCAAACATGATGCCAGGTCACTTGCTGTAGTCTGTGAGAACACAGGCCTTTGTTTTCAAATGAATGGTGTTATTACTTTAACTCTATCTTAAATCTCCCTTTCTATTAACTCATGAGCTATATTAAAATGTTGCATATCCATCAACTGATGTGAATTGACAATTCATTAATGATATGATGATATCATTTTATATTCCTGTATAAACTGCGTGCCAGAAGACTCAACTGCACAGACTCCTTCCTCTCTTGTGTGTTTGTGTTTGTGGTAATGGTGCTCTTTAACACAATCCACTCATTCTTCGCCGTCTGCGTACTGGTTGACTCACTGATGCTCTCCCCATCATGGTAGCTCCTCTTGTACAGCTTATATAACAGAATATGTACATGTCAGTCTTGTTTTCTAAGATGATTTGTCCTCGTCCTGTTTTATGAATCAACCCGACAGTTTACATGAGCCTTTTGGTTTTTGTCCCCAGTGATGGAAAATGGCAGTAGTTCCAAGTAAAACATGCAGTGCATAGAAAAAGAGACAAAATATCTTACTTTACTTATTTGACCGTCATCTAACCAGAGGTGGTCACATTGGGAATGAATCACTTTTCCAACCGAGTTCTGGTCTAGAAAGCAGCACATGCAGTGAAACAGACAGTAAACAGCAGCACGCAGCCATGGGGCCGAAATCAGCACAGACAGCAGCATTTATACTCGTGAGTGGCCGAACTTGTCTGAGCTGTTTGGCCCGAAAGGAGACCAAGCAGATGTTTTTAATTACGTGTCCCTCTCATTTGTTATTTATTTTTTGGTTGTCAAAAGGCCAGTGTTTACTAAGTGTAGAGCTTGGCCCATTTTAACTGGTTAAGTGGTAAAACTACTTTTAAGTTTGTTGTGGGGCACATAGCTTTACCAAGGCCATGTTCTGAAGAAAAAAGGTTCCCTCCAGGCACAAGTACTGTTATTTATTAACTGCTAGTTCTGCTTATTGGGAACTAGCTCAGTCAATGATGTTCAAGATTTGATATGAAACACTGTGTTCCTGCAGGAGCCAAAGGTTATTCCTGGGAAGAAATTCACTTTGTATTCACTGATTGTGAAGATTATGGCTCTGACACCGGTCTTAATGGGAGAAGGAGGTTCTCTAGTATAAAATAACTCATTGTTGGAAAACGAGCCTGAAGCACTTCTTTCCCAGGCAATGCTGTCATGCAACAGCTCAGTATCACTATTTGTTAGTGGTGTGTGAGAAAAGTTGATTCTGAGAGAGGATGGAGAATCATTCTGAATGGATCTGTGTTCCACACTGGTTGTGATATTTGTGTATTTAGCGAACGGTACATGTGTCAGTAATGCCCGAACACTGAAGCTGAATTAAATCTCTGTGATGTGTTTTTTTTTTTCTACACCCAGATGACTCATCCAACTGCATTTCCTAAGGAGCATTTGGAAGCGTAGGTGGTTTCCTGCGTTACCTGTGGTTGTCTAAGACCACAGCGATAGGAACACACTGTGTGTGGGTTTCATCCACCATGGCAGACTTCCACCTATCCTGGGTGGAGCCTGGTTTCAGTCAGCAGTTTGCTACCAAACTTTTCTGCCCATGCCTGAAACCCTGCAGTGGATTTTCTGGCTGTCTTTCCCAACTGTTTATTTGCATCCTTGTTCCTCCTTCTTTCCTCCTTCCTTGTTCTTCACTTTGCATCCTTGCCTCATTCCTTTGAGTCACAAGTCTTCAAATGAGATAGTGACGTATAATTAGAAAACGTAGCTGTCTTCTTTTCCTCTTTCCTCTTTCCTGTTCTGCCTACGAACACCTTCCCATTCCTCCTGACTTAAACTCATAGGGGACTTTATTCAGTTCCTTCTGCCTTCACTCGTATTTTTTTCTACCCATTTATGTCTGGACTTATTTGGCAAATTGAGTCCAAGCGGTCATTGTTTATAATCTTGGATAACATAAACCAGATCATTGCACCGAGTGCTTAAATTAATGATGCATTGCCTTTCAGTGCTAGCTACTGTTGAACCACTGGCCAGTTAATTATTACAAGCCAGTTTGTGTTGGAAGGGAAATTGGATTTAAACAATAACTGTTAAATCTACCGCTGCCTGTCCCTCAATTGGAAATCTAGTCTAATGCTGAAATTAGAGATGGATACAAGAGGATTTTCCACACTTGACTGATGATGTTAGTTTACTATACATGGTTTAATGTAAACCTTTGTGTTCCTGTTGCCCATGAATGAGACCCTCTGTTATTCCGGCATTCCCTCGTATCTCCGCCCACTACAGTGCATGTTGTCCTACAGACGGATTATAAGGTTACATAATGAGACGCTGAGGAATAGGATATTTATTTTAGCCCTGGAACAGGATTATCAGCTGCACACACACAGACGGTTGATAAATGATAGTGGTACGACACCGCAAACCGATCTTCCTCCAGGAAAGAATTGGATCAATAGGTTAATGGGATATTCAGAATAGAGGTGATATTTTTATTTATAGACACAAACTGACAGTTCAGGGATTTTATCCACAAAGAAGAAAGTTAAATTAAACTTTTCAATGGCACATTTTCGCTGTCAAAATAACGAGGGGGTTTGAAAACCTATTGTATTAGCTGAAAACGTAACTTAAACTTGTCAGAAAACTTAAAACTTATATTTTCGAGGTTCATGATGTTCACAGGACAGCGACGCCATGCTTCTCAAAGTCTCAGGAACAAACTACAGACAGACCTCTTTGTGGGGTTTCGTCCAGATGTGAGGGCGGCACTCCGACAGTTATATTATGTCAGTAATGATTATTCACCTCGGTTGCTGAAGTCAGTGAGCCCAAACATGCTCAGTCCACACCCTTCCCTTCTGTGCGCTTCACTCCCAGACACCACAGCCAGGTACTGTTCCCTGGCAATTCTCCCAAACACAGCCAGCCATGCCCGTCAACACCCGCTTCACCTACATCTACCTTCTGCTTTATTTGGACACCTCCCTTTTTCAACAATGTCTCTCCATTCCTTTCTGGATGAGAACATACAGTACAATAATGACTCAGTGTTGAGCACTTAGACGCACAGTTAGCTGATCATTTTATTACCTTAACTGAGCCATTTCAAAGTAGCTTTGAGGTGTTGCTTGTTGTTACCACATTTAGACCTGCAGTGCTGCTATCTTATTCAACAGATGGTAGAAGGCAGCTGCAAAGTTGTTATTTGATAAATCCTTAACTTGACTAGTAGTGATACAGTAATCTTAATATTAAAGTCTGCTGGAATTGCTATCAGGGCTAATAATGACAGTTTTTAATGGATTAGCATTGGTTGTAGTATAAATTAAATTCTAAGTCTATTCAGATCCATTGTTTATTGTAACCATTGCGTTGTTTTGTGGACATGCTCTGTTGTGCTCTGTAAAAACACTGCAACCTGTTCCACACTGTAAACACAGAAACTTAGTTCACACAAACAGATTGCAGCCAGCAGTTACTATGAAGGATGTCCACAAACATATCAGCTGTACACTAACACGGACAAACACTGGATGCTGGATATTCTAGAAAACAACAAAAATCTGAATATATTTCTTTGGAGACTGAGAGTCCAATGTAGAGCTGTAATACTGTATGTTGAAAATACAAGTATAAAACATAAAACGACTAATATTGGGGTCAGAGTCAAACAAACCTCACATCCTAAGTTAGTGTGATATCAGACGTGATTCTCATTTCTACTTATGTCAACTGACCAAATGGTTCGTGTCACATAAAAAACACCAGTCAAATTATGAACTACAAAAGGCTTTTCTGAAGAAAACTTTTGTCTGCTCGCTCCTGAAGATTTACATCTGAAACATTTGAAATGTTGATGTTGAATTGGCAGTTAAAGTGAAAGTCCTGAAGCAGATTACTTTTATTATTTCATTATTAATCAGCTGAACATTTATATTCAACAAAGGCCCTGATGACTGAAACAACTGTACAACTCCAGACACTCTTTGTAATCATATCTGCTATCCAGAATCCAGGTTTAGTGCTTTATTGCCAGAATGTGTCGTTCCTTGCTGAGCTCTGGATGAAATCAGTTGTCCTACAGATAGGAGGCTTCCAAAGGTCGCTGCAGGTCGTGCTGAATCTTGAGCTCGTTTTGCTTCCAAACACTTGTTGATCAGAGAGCAGTGGTTAGATTAAGTTGTCAGGAGAGGACAGGGAACAGCAGAGCCAACTGTACATGCTGCAGTGAAAGAACAACTTTGTCTCATCGCAGCCCGCTGGTGGTTTCAGACATTAAAATGAGTTGGAACAAGCTGCAAAAAAAAAAAGATAGGTCATACTCTACTTATTAATGAGGGGAAGCAGTGATTAAATAAAATCATGCCCAGATTATGGTAATAATCACGCTGTTTGGAGGAACACTGTGGCCTCGTTTCACATCTGGTTTGAGGACACAAACTGTCTTCTTGTCTGCTCAGGTGAATTGAGTTTGTTGTGGATTGTTGTTTATCTAACTAAGACAGGGGTGCGATGAAGTTGGGTCTCATCCAGGAAGATGTGCTTGTGTGCCATTAATCATAGAGCAGCAGGGGCAGAGAAAACACAATGTGGAGTGGAAGAACACATAACAGCAAGTAAACAACTCAATGATAGTGGAAAGACTACTACCGTAGCTAAATTAGAAATGTCCCTCAGATTGGAACATGTTAATGTTGTGTGTGCACCTTAATGACATTCATGAATTCACTGTTTTCGTGAATTTTAGTTTAATTCACCATACTTGCACCAAAGCAACAAAATGGCAAAAATGGCACTGAGCAGGTATGACAGTAAATAATTGTAATGATACTTGTATTTTGTTTATTCTTTATGTATTTCATGTCTAGCTTAGAAGAAAAAGATCTGATATGGTGGAAGGCAGTGACTGTCAAGCCGAACTTATCGTGAGAAAATGTGTGAACGCATGAATCCCTTTAAGACTATAAATGTGATGAAAGGCTCCAATAAAAAAACTAAACACAATGCTTAACGGTTCTTTTTTGTTTTTCTTTTTTTAGAAACTCAATTAACTATTATTGAGGCTAGGCAGCGTCTATAAAACAGATTTATTTTCCACTGCACAGTAATAATCTACAACATCCCATTTGTCCGTTGTCCCGCAGGTTATTGACTCACTGGGCGTCATGATCTACAAAGCTCTGGACTACGGCCTCAAAGAAAACGAGGAGCGCGAACTCAGTCCGCCTCTGGAGCGCCTCATCGACATGATGACAAACACAGAAGAAACGGAGAGCGACCCGTGTCCCGACGAGGGCTACGAAGCCACGGAGGAGGAGGATGAGTGTGAGGAAGAGGAGGAGGAAGAGGAACCCGTTCCTGCTACCACCAGCTCAGTCAGCAGCATTCGCAGTTATAGAGACGTCATCACGGTAGGCTGTCAGGGAGGTTGAAGAGCACGTCATGAATTCTTACATTTTGTGTTTTTCCCGTTGAAGCTGGTTAAAGACGCACACAGAGCTCGGCTGCAGGTCGACAGTGCAGATGGCAAAAGTTGAATCCTCACACTTTAATAATCCTATCTAATAATTTGCTGCAGTGTTTCAACCAGTCAGGTTCGAGGGATCACGCTGATCCATGACGGATAGCAAATTATTGAAGATATCTTCTGCTTTTAATGTGTTCTCCTTTATCCAGCCTGTTATGTATGCGCATTTCCCCCCACATTTTAACATCAGGTCTATTAACAGAGCAACGCAGCCACACATCATCATCACTTCAGCTCCAAACAAATTCCCCTGATGGGGTCCGTCACGCTGTAAATTCCCCAAGTGGCTTCTGAATATGAGACTGGTAATTACAGCTGTGTAAACACGCTGGTATTTGGGGAATAGGCTTAGAAACTTTCACAGCCCGTTCCCTCCATATAATGAACCCGGTGTATGACACAAATGTCGGGTCTGTTGCTGCCAGTGCGTGTCCAGCCTGGCCCCTAATTCCTCCAACAATCATTCTCTTGAGTGTAAACTGCAATATGTCGGTATGACTTGGCTAGATTGGATAACTGCACATTCCTGACAGACCTCCTTCCTTTACTGCAGTGGTGGGTTGGGTCGATGAGGGCTCAGTGAGACGAGAAGCTGACAAAAGAGGACAGGACTCTCCAGTGAAGCATCTCACAAAGAAACTAATAGACGCTGAATGTGCCAAATAGGTTTCCTCATTGCTCGAGTGAAGTGAAGTGAAGTGAAGTGAGGAGTGGCTTCATGAGCATCGTCTTACCAAAGCTGTCAATCTGGAGTTTGGAGTGTCGTTCATTATTCAACTTTAAAGCTCCAAACTATGACATTACCGTTTATGTGCCAGTAGTTTCTGTAGCATCAGCTCTCCTTTAGTTTTTGTACTAAACAAGGTCTTCGTGCCCGATACAGATCATTGTTTTTAGTAGAAACAGTGGAAGCCACTGATGCAGCAGTATTTTAAAAATGGTGGTAAAGACTCTCACTGCTCAGGTGTACATTTTTGGAATTTCACTTCAGTCGACGAGGAAAACAACACTTTCTGTTGTCTCAGACATTCCTGCGGCTAACTGAGCCCATCAGGAGAACATGAAAATATGTCATTGGTCTGGTTTCCTCTTTTGTGTCACTGGAGATAATTTGACAGCACATCCATTACTCAGGCAGGCGGCCTTTATCATCATTACAATCACAGTCAAATACTTTAAGGGTCAGAGCTTTAAATGGTGCTTTAGGTGATGTTAGTCAGGCAGTGTCACAACAGGACAATCAGGTTCATGCTGTTAATAGTTCTGGTTTACACAGTTTCACATTTTTAGCCACCTCATGACTCTGTGGGAATGTCTGTTGGACCACCGCTTTGAAATACCTAGAAGAACTATATTGGATGGATTGACAGGAAAATTTCTACAGACACTCATGATCCTAAGAGCGTCACGCCTACTGACTTTTTAATGATGACCTGACATTTCTTCTAGCACCACCATGAGGCAGATTTTTTTTTTTTTTTTGTGAAATGTGTCAAAAACTATTGGATGAATAATGTACAGACATTAATATTGAAAACTTGGGTTTTCTATTTCCACTTTCCATCAAGTGCATTCATTTGTTTTGAACAAATACTTTCAAAACCAGTGACATTCCCATCAACTGTACTTTGTGGTTTTAGTGCTAACTAACAAATGCTGCATTGCATTATTAAAAGAAAAACAAACCCATAAAGGAAAACTATTGGATAAGAAACATGCAACACAAAAGCAGTTTAAATTGCCCCAGAAGTGTTGTCCTCTCTTCAACTATATGTCTTTATTTTGTGTGTTTATTTTTGCCTTTTTTTCTTTTTCTTTTGTTGTTGGAAAATAATTGTCTCTGTGTACATGATTTCTTGATATTTACATTATTTCCAAGTGTAATAAATAATTGGTCATTATAGAAAATCGTCTTTCTTTAACTACATAAGAGATCTTTGTATGCCCTACTTATACAGGATACTGTTGGCTTTATGTTGGCCATGTTTAATTAATGATTATGAAATATATATATATATATATATATATATATATATATATAACCCATTCCTTCTCTTTTTTCCTGTACAGCTATGTTCTTCCCACCTGCCCAGCCCATCAGACGCCCCCAACCATTACAAGGCCGTGTGTCGCGCTCTCTATGCCGAGACCAGGGAACTACGCACCTTTCTGGAGAAGATCAAGAGTGCCAAGGAGGTAAGACACTCGTGTTCTTGATAAATCACCATAACAACTGATGATACACTTACATATGAAGTGAGTCGCTTAAATCTATTTTAGAAATATTGAGTAACTTCCTACACTCACTTTTTAATAATTATCAGTCATCCACATTCCCAAAGTGGAGTCATTTTGACTCATACCTAAAACATTTGACTCATTTGCACGTCACAAACCTATCAAAATATAAAATGAATTGAAAAGGATTGTGATTGGAGACACAGAACAGATAAGAGGATAAGAGAAAGTACCAAACTCTCTTGTCCCTGGGATTTACCGCTCCGCTTCAGTATGTGGATTTACTGTGTAGAATTAAATTGGTTGAATTAGGATGTGTTAGGCCAACAGCCTCGCTAACGCTGGGAAAAGAAAATACCAGTGTGGTGCCCAGAAACTGCACAATAGCAACTAAACAGCCCACAGAGTGGTAATGGTCCAGAAAGATTGAGACTGCGTGGTTGTCCCTCTCTGACCCCCTTGTGAGGCCAGTTGAGAACTGAACATTGGTTACACTATTTGGCATGAATTTAACTCTGCATGGACATGATCTGGCATCCTGTTTCAAATGTCGGTGTGTGTGTACGACCTTATTGGCAGATTTATTTCTGTAAGTGGAGTATTGGTGTAGTGCAGTAATTGAGTATTAGATTAGTGAGAGCACTCGATGTTAACCATCTGGAAAAAATTGTGCTGAACTTACATCATAACAATCATTAATTGATCATTGTTAGCATGAAAACATACCATGAAAGAAATACAGCATGGAAGATTTCATAAGCAACTTGAGCAGACTGATAAAAACTGATGTGTTGTCAGAAAGTTCAGTTTGTTTTAGGCATTATTGAAACAAAACCATGGACTCTTTTCTTAAAATAAACCTCCTGCTTTACCTTTTTTTCACCCGACAGTAATAACAGAACACATACATTTTAATGGACAACCTTTAAAGTCTTTCTTTAAAAGTGTAGCAGAGAGCTGGTGGAAAAACACTTCCCCAACCCAACTCAAGCATTCAAGATAAACATCAAGTGGAACCTTTTTGTTCCCTGATTGAGTTTTAGAGAAGATGTAGCCACGTGATGGCTTGTCAGACAGCGTAGCTTTACTGCACAGTATGTACGCACTCATGTGCTAAGTGCTGGCTGTGACTTCTGCAGGAGACATCATTCATGCAAACAGTCTTATGTAATATATGGTTATAGAATCAAGTTTAACCTTATTACAGCAGTTTAAGCAGCTTACAGGAGGGGACCGCCGGGCTATAGGGGCCGCTTTGCACTTCCTGTAGTACTGAATGTTACCGGATAATTGCTAATGAGTAACCATGCACAGTACCACTCATCACACATGCTTACAAATTAGGAGGTTGGTCAGTGAGTCTTTCTTTCAGTTTTTTCTCACTGTTGTTGTTTTTCCTCTCTTCTCTGTCAGCGTCTATTGGCTTCTCTCGTCTAGAAATAAACTGAAACCGTATGTTTGTTGTGGAAAGTGTCAATGAGCGACAAGTTAACTGTCATGGTTTATAAAAGGAGGGAATCCTTGGTAATGAAGATGAATTTGCAGCCATAATGCATTTGGATATTAGAGGAGAAAGTTCAGATCAGCAGAAAAATAGATTAAGTAGAAGGAATGTGTTTCAGCAGTAAACATGGGTGTGGATGAATAAGAAGGGAAGCAGCTGCAGCTGTCAGCAGGAGCCTTTAGGCGTTCTTTCTTTGATCTAAGGGTGATATGGTAGATCATGTTATGTTATATATGTGAATTTAGCCTGAAACAACTTTTGATTAACAAGAACTTAACTTGAACCTCTTAGATTTTTATTTACTATGAGTATTAGGGCTGCACAATTAATCAAAATATCCAAATCTCAATATGGCCAAGTGCAATATGCAAATCACAAAAGCTGCAATTTTTTGATAAAGGTAAACGTGTGTGACAAAACAGTATTATACTGAAGTACTGTAGTGCTTCAGAGATGCCCTGGTCTACAAATCTTGTTCTCCAGATGTAAGAAAACGTGTGTTTGGTATAGAATCCACCAAATGTCTCATCATGATTTCAATTTATTTATTTTTGGCAAAAATGAAAATAATGATGCAAAAATAATCATTCAACTAATCGTGAATCATATCGCTATCTGTCAAAAATAATCGCAGTGATTTTTTTTTTAAATCATATTGTGCAGCCTAATAAGGTAATAATTTGACAACATGCAGCTGATTTACAGTAAATCAATATAAAACATGTGTCAACTCCAGTCCAATCCTCAACCATACCCAGTTTGACATTTGAACCAGTCACCCAAAACTTTCAGTAACTAGCTTGTGCGGTGAGGATTCGGCAGACAGACAATAATAGCAGCCATTAGTTGACTATTGGGTTCTTTAATTCTTTCTGGGACGCTGTCAATACAGAGCGAGACAGATATTGACATGGTCGTGTGAAACAACATCCATCGATTCATTAACCAGACTGTGTTGACATTATGAGCAGTTTGCCATAGACCCCAACTTAATTTCAACCATGGCTGTGAGTGCAGTTACTACTGAATATCATGACATTAGGAATTCTTTTCTGTTTTTCTCCACGTTTTAATGTTTTTCCCGTCCCTTTTTTTTTTTGGCTAGAACCTTCGGAAAATGGAAGGTGACACTCGGGAACCTGTTAAAGACCTCGATGAGCTGCAAAATTCAGATTGGGTAAGAACTACAGCTGCTACTACACTGCTATATTTTAGCTCCGTGACCATGTGTTGCTTATTCTATAATATGCTATCTGGTCAAAACTGCATTAAATATGAAAGTCAGCTTTTTTGTCGTCCCCAACAGGCGCGGTTCTGGGTGCAGGTGATGCGAGATCTACGGGATGGTGTTAAGTTGAAGAAGGTTCAGGAGCGTCAGTACAACCCGCTGCCCATTGAATACCAACTTACACCATATGAAATGCTGATGGACGACATCCGCTCCAAACGCTACAAACTACGAAAAGTCATGGTGAGGATTTTACTAACCTGCACGTTCCCACCGTAATCATATATTTCTGTTTAGCTGTTTCTTCTGTGTTTGGAAAAAGCCAAACCAAAATATATTGTCCTACTTTTAAAAAGCCACATGTCTTCATTGTCTTTGAAATGTTGATCTGATGTTTAATGGTCTTCCAACCATCCTTTTAAGTGCTGTTTGTTTTTCTTTCTTAAAATCATGATCCACATCAAGTTTAATGTTGTCATTCCAGGTGAATGGGAACATCCCACCAAAGTTAAAGAAGAGTGCTCATGAGATCATTCTTGAGTTCATCAGGTCGCGACCACCTCTCAACCCTGTGAGTAGCACACAACATGGTGTCAGAGGATACATTCACATTGTTGAACAATTTAAGTCTTCAATCTTAAAGTTTGTACGGAGGGAACTTTTTTAGTCCAAACACAAGTTAGTATACAAGTACTGATATCTGCATTTCCATCAGAGTTAAGTTTCAGTTTGGCAACATTTAGAGAGTGGCCGATATGATAATTATCACCTGTATTCAGCCGGGTTGTGAAAACAATATTTCGTTGTCAGTTGTTAAATGAGAACACAGGCATTCACAGTAGATGCCAAATGACTGGGTGTGAATGATGGGGAACATAATGTCACATGCCCATCATCACATGGTGCTATTGTTAACAAAGTGATAAACTAACAGAATAGTTGGCTCATTTCATGCACTGCGAGGTATGAGGGGGAAAATTTCACTTTGGTCTCCATGGTGATGGCAGTCATGTGCTAACTTGTGCGGTTGTCATGTCAGGTCTCAGCCCGTAAACTGAAACCCCACCCGCCACGTCCCCGGAGTCTCCACGAGCGACTGCTGGAGGACATCAAAGCTGAAAGGAAGCTCAGGCCGGTCTCACCAGACATGATCCGCAGAAGCCGCCTAGGTAAGCGGCTGACAGTTGCACACACGCACTGATGTTTACATGCTTACATACATGCAGAAATGTCTAACAATGTATGGACTAATCTCCTGGGCATAACGCACACAATGCATTGGATGATTTGTTCAAACTATTAAACTAAACTTTTCTGTTTTTATCTGAAGAAATCCTTCGACTGTAAACTTACTGCATGACAACCGCTCCACTCAGGACAAAAATCATTAACCATGACTTCATCATCCATCATGTTTACACGTAACAGCCCTCTTCCTACATTGATCTGTTCACTTAACCAGAAGTATCTTAGTGTTTAAACAAGGATCACTTTGACTGCAGGTGTGAGCCTGCAGGTGTTTGCTCGACCTGCTAAAGTAACTGTTCGACTGATAAGTTCTTTGGTTTAAACTAAATGGACATTCTTCTTATCATGATTCCAGTATGTAACGCCGCCCTTCGTGGTTAGTTTTATAAAGACGTAGATAATCCTTTTGCTCTGCACTTGTTGTAATTGGCCAATTGGATATAATGTTTTAAACCATTTAAGACTTTAATCAGATCAAAACAGCAAATATTTTGTCTATACCATACAGTGCTCATATGCCATTTACACAAAATGCCTTTTGTTAAGGGATTTAGAAGGTTAACATGGAGCAGCTGTTGCATAACCACACATATGGCAGGCTATACGGGTTCTCTGAACTGTTGCTAAAAATAATATGGTCCTTTTTATAATCTTTTCAAGATTTTCAGAATATGTTTTATTAAATCGGATGATTCAACAACTATAAAATCCATTTTAACTCACATGGATTTCTTTTTCTCCTATTTGCTTCTATTTCCTTTTTTTCTCCAAACACGGGCATATCTGTCAGTCATGCGACCTCTTAGCATGTCTTACAGTTTTGACTCATCAGGTAAAGTTTCACGTCACGTATTGTGTTCCTATTGTCGTACCTTGTGTTTCATTCCAGGCTATTTTAGGATCCTGATTTAAACACAAACACACCCTCTTCTTTTTCATGCTGGTGACACACTATTGTCACTTACCTACACCTACTGTCCCTGAGGAAGAGATGGGTCTACACAGTGCAACCTAATCTCAGGCTGTGAAATGGTCACCTTAATGTTTATAGCTGGGAGGTAGAATAAAAACAGCTTCAGAGCAGGAATTCTATATTTTAGGCATGTTATGAAAGAATGATACAAGTTTAACAGGGTGCTCTGGATATGGTAGTTAGTCACAAGGACTGTCTGTGGTCTAGGTGATGAGGGATAACCATTGAGCCAGAGCCAGTAGGATGAGATTACAGATCATCACGCTGCCTCTGCTGCCAGTTTGCCCTGCTTGTCACCCTAATCCGCTCTCACTGTGGAATATGGAAAATTACATAACACTCGTATCAGCAGCCTACCTCAGATAAATAGTTAAATGGCAGATGACGGTCTGAATGTAGCCCTGCAGTCTCACAGGTTGACCATAATCCAGATGAATGTACGGGAATAACCTTTTGCACTGTCGCTGCACACATTGTCTTTCTCTGCTTCCCTGTCACTCCCCTTCACTCTCCCGTCCCCTATGTGTGAATGTAACCCACTATTACACACCGCCCCCTCAATTCACACCTGGTCTGACAGATGCTTGTTGCTGTCAAGTTCTCCCTGTCGTAGCAGTTTGGTGTTAGGGATGGACATAAATAAATAATGTGTGTGGTCCTACTGAAAGTTATATTTCTTTAATTCTTTTACAGGTGCAGGGAAAAGCATCAGCACTCCTCAGGACTTGTTCCGCAGCTCAGGTAAAGCACTAATGAAGCATCAGTGGTGTGATCTTTTCTTTTGTTGTTTTTTCCCTTAATTAAATGATTGAGGAAAAAATCTGTAACATAAGCATATGTAACATAAGCATATGTAACATAGCATATGTACATGTTGCATATGTTTGGGCCTTATCTTGGTCGCCATGTGGTCCGCGTAGACTCTGGCTGTGTGATGCAGCAACAATACAAGACACCCATAATTTACACAGGAGGCATGATGGCCAGCTGTTAAGATAAGGAGGTCATGATCATTTATGGTTCACTTGTAATACAACACTGTTCATAACCAAAATCGTATCGTTCTCCCGCAGACACTCCTGATGCACCCAGGAAGTTGGCTGTCAGCACCCAGTCTCTGGCCAGTGGCACCATGGGACCCAATCAAGGTGGAGCGCAGCCCCTCAGCCAGAGGAAGAGGCTGCTCAGAGCGCCCACGCTGGCTGAGCTCGACAGCTCTGAATCTGATGTAAGATGTCTGACTCTGAATGGCTGTGCTCATAAAATGATCATTAATCCAATTACAGTTTAGCAACTTCGCAAAAGGTGTAAAAATGACACTTGACAAACCTGTAAATTGAGTGTGATAAACTTTTATTTCAACAGACAAAGACAACCAACTTGTTAATATCTCTTTGGGAAATTGGACTGGATTTTGTTTTGCCACGCTATATTCAAAGTCATTTAAAGTTATCAGTATCACCTAACTAAATATGCGTTCTGATTGACAGGAGGAGGCCACACGGAGCAGCTCCAGTATGTCCACATCTTTGATGGAGGACACGTCACCAGAGTCCGTCATAGGGAAGAAGGGTAAGGGCTCACCTGGAGCACCTTTTGACCATTGCAAACATATCTACGTTGTTCAGACTAAACATAATAACCAGGTCTTCACCAAATGTACTCTTTAGCTGTCTTTTCATGTGTTGTTCTCCTTTTGTCTTGTGTCTCCAGCTCCTCCAAATTTCCTGCCCGTCTCTGCAACCCCACAGCCAGAAAAGCGCCAGTCTCCACAGAGGCGGCACTCTATCGAGAAGGAGGCCCCCACCAGTGTCCACCCCTTTGCACCTCCATCCAGACAGACCTCCAAGTCTTTGGTACGTCAACTGTAGAAGCTACTTCTATTAGATTATTTATCAAGGCCTGTTAATGGATGAATTAAACCTCTAAAGTTGATAACCGATTTCTAACATCCCAACCTTTTATAAACATTAGATTACATCCATAACAGATACTACTATGTCAGTTATAAATACACTTACATTAGAAGATTAGATTAAGATGATATATCATGTTCTTTATTGATATAATTATGATTATTCTTCTTAAATGTCGTCAGGATCTCTAAAGGGTCAGATGTAAATCAGTCTGCACAATTGTAAAAATATAGTAGTTCAAAGAATTTAGTACAAAGTACAAAGAATTTGTAGAGTAACAAATCATACACGTGGACTTGATAGTTTAAATGAACTCCGGCTGAATCTACAAACAATCTTGGACATACAATAATATAGCTGTTGAATTTACTCCCGTCCTGTGACTGGTCATTTGTCTGCCATGAGGTCATTGGTTGGTGACTCTGTGTCGGTCGTATGATTCCAGGCAGCGAGGTTGATGGACGTAATTGAAACCACAGGACAGGCCGCTGTATGAAGGGGATTTAGATGGAATTGGTTCATTCTCACCACTCGCGAGTTTAAAAGCAGACTTCTGGCGCCAAACCGGTGACCCTTGTTCCAACTACCCAAAGATCAAATCAGAAAAAATGCAGTTAAAATACTGGAGGAGACGGCTTTCTAGGGATAGGTTTACATTATACTATTACAGTATCTCCCTCTTAAAATTAGCCGCCATTTCTCTTAATACTAGTTTATCAATCAGATATTGCTGACCATTCACTTTAAAAGCAATAGCATTATTTATTAAAAGTAACATTTTTAAGTTATTAACTGTCCTTTATACATTTCATGTTAGTGATTACTTCCTGTCTTGTTTCTTAATAATTATAAAAATTAAAAATGTCTGTCAGATTGAAGTAATCAAAAGCAACATATTTACAGTTTTCTGGTCCTTTTCATAATAAAATCAAATAATAATTTATTTTACCAGGAGCCGTGTTTCTTTTCCTTGAGCTTCTTCACATGATCTTCTCTTGTAGATGTAAAACAGTAAGATCCTTGTTGCAGTTCCCCTCCCTTTCTGCTACTCATGTATGTTATATCTCATTAAAATGTTTACACTAGTCAGCTGTCTTATACCAAAGACTTACTTGCCGTCACTTCCTGTTTTTATATAATGCTGCAGCTGATGGCGGAGCCCAGCGCCAAGGTAACTTGGTCAACCTTTTGTCTAACCATAACCATCAGCCCATTTTTTTTATATATATTACAGCATTTCTTCTGGGACAGATTATGGGAGACAGGAAGCAGTGATGTGTAAGATGTAGGTGTGCACCATCAGTAGACACCAGCTGTGATCTTTTGTGACTGTGAGAGAGAAGACAGAATAAAAACTAGCGTCTCAGTGAACGACTCCTTTTGAGAAGGATGCTGTCAGATGATTTTTCTGTCATGGGACTTCTTGTTATGAAGTTCTGCTGTAGTGAATGAATACACACGAGACGAAATAACAGTTTATTAATGTTATGACCTATGAGAGAGTTTGTGAAATAATGTATGAACTCTTGGAACTCTTCCAAAACCTTAGTAAACATTTATTTTTTGCTTAGTTGTTAATACCGGATTTATCATTTGACATTTGTCAGTCTCTCAAAATGTCCTCTAATAGATGTAGTTCTTGTATTAAATGATATCAAGCGTACTGCATGTGATTAGCTTGTTGGAATATAAGGTCCTGCTTCTGTTTGAATGTCCTGTTCCCTCTGTCTGCTGGTCAGGTGGAAGCTGCCAGTGGTGCTCAGGGCACGGTATGTCACTGTTACTGCTCATCATCAAAGGCACAGAACACTGTGTGGGGAACCCATCCAGAAAACTGTATAATTCAATAGACTTGTTTTAGATGACTGGGTCCATTTGTGTGAATGGGAGATCAGCGGCATAATGAAAATGGCTCAGGGAAGGTTAAAAAGAAAAAAAGAGTTGAGAAATGATCTGTAAACATTCACAGCAGAGTCTGACATTTTCTAATCCAAGTCTATGGAGAGTAAATGATTGGTGGAGAAGTTCCCTGAGCAATTTTCACTTCTGAGGAGTTTGACTTTGGGTCGATTTGGCTCTAAAGTTGAGACAAAAGATAGATGATTATGTTGAAAGTGTAAGCTCCCAGCTATGTCACAGATCTCCTGGTGACAAAAGCTTGCACCATGATGGCGGTCCACTTGCAAATTGGTTGTGTTGAAATAGTGATAAAACATTAATTTGTATGGAAAACAGCCATAGTATAGTTAAAGGTCCACTGAGTGATGTTAAAAGTAAACATGGTTCAATTCACCATGTTGAGCTGCCTGACTTCTAAGTTTAGAAACGCAGTTATCTGTTGAAGCTGTTTTTTGTTAGTTTTTAATATGGACCTGTGGTCAGGAATAAGGTAAATAGAATAATTGAATGAAGTAAGCTGACTGCCAAAAGCTGTGGACCACCATCATGACGGGTGTGTTGCATCACCAGGATGCTGTGTATTTCACTGTTCATTGTCACCCTGTCATGTTAGGGGGAAACATCACATGACGTGGGTCACAGAAAGCAAAGAATACCCGTGTTTTCACCTTCACAACCTCATCGCATGCTTGGTATTTTGGTAAAGTGGTGTACAGTGGTTGTTTTTATCTTGGTGAAGTGAGTATGACTGCATTGCTTGGACTGCGCATTTAGTCACATTAACACATTGTTAGTCTCGTTGGCAGCAGATCTCATCACTTCTTGCTGTTGCACGGTTTTGGGTTATCCGTATCCTGATCTGCATATGTGAGGGTTAGTGTGTTGATGTGTGTTTTTTTTCTCCAGGAGGAGTTCTGTTACCCGGTGGAGTGTCTGGCTCTGACGGTGGAGGAGGTGATGCACATCAGGCAGGTTCTGGTCAAGGCTGAGCTGGAGAAGTTTCAGCAGTACAAAGACATCTACACGGCCCTCAAGAAAGGAAAGGTACACACAGCATGAAGGGTTTTTGTTATCAGAGAGACAGTTTTCCTCATAATTTATCATTTAATATTATTCTGTGCACCTCATTCACTTCACCTCATGCTTTCCTCTTTAGCTTTGCTTTTCGTGTCGGACCAAGAGGTTCTCTCTCTTTACCTGGTCCTACACCTGCCAGTTCTGCAAAAGGTAAATTCAGTCTCTGTTACTAAAACTGTTCAATTTAAAGTCTTTGATTGGTAAGATAAACACATGGAATAACATGTTTTATGTTAAACTGTCCATCATGAGTCAAACTATGCACTAGAAGTACAATGCTAAATTGGTGCAGTACAGTTTTAAATATAGCGTTTGTTCATTTTTATCTTCCCCAGGCCTGTGTGTTCCCAGTGCTCTAAAAAGGTAGGAAGCTCTTCGCTCACATTTAACACACTTTTGAACACTCACTTTAGAATTGTTGACACTCTTGACACCTGTATGCTGCACCACGTGCACCCACAGGTGCTCCATAAACTACATATACTGTACAGTTAGTTTTTAACCATTTTGTGTAACTTTTTTACCTTAGATGCGGCTGCCGTCTAAGCCCTACTCCACCTTGCCCATCTATTCTTTGGGCCCCAGTGCTGCGGCTAAAGAAGAGGCAAGTGGAGCGTCTGCCCCTGCTGAACCAGAGAAGCACCCGTTTGGGTCCGGACATAGCCGACACAGCCTACGCAGAAGTGTTTACAAGTATGTTACTGTAGAACAGTTTTTTTCTGTTTCTTTTTACTGAGTTTGTTTGTTTGTTAACACAATAATACAAATCAAAATGCATACATGAAATACAGGAAAGGAATTAACCTTGAAAGGCTTATTCAGGGTCCTCCCTAAAACCTAAAAACACATAGCACAAACAATCTCTATATACACGACATAGGCAAGCATAAATGTAATGTAAAAGAAAATGAACATAGTTAAACTGAGGTAATATGGTCAAAATGCTTTATCAGATCAGTTTATTCATTCTTTCTTCTGTCCTCAGGTTGTCTAAGCACAGTAGTAGCAGTAAAGAAGGCCGCTCACAGGATGAGCCAGAGCTGCCCAAAGAGCTTACCGAGGACTGGGTCACCATGGAGATCTGTGTAGACTGCAAAAAGTTCATCACGGAGATCATCTCCTCCAGCAAGCGCAGCCTGTGCGTGGCTACCAAGCGCGCGCGCCTCAATCGCAAAACCCAATCCTTCTACATGTCTTCATCTAACTCTGTCAACTTCAGGCCCTCTGAGCGCACCATCAATGAGGTGTAGAAAGAAATGCCTTGTGCGCTTTCGTCCACGCCTCCTTCAGAGCTTAGTCGTTCAATGGAAAACAAAAAAAAGAAAAAATCCCCTTAGTCTGGTTTTGACACAAACTGGTTCACTGTGACGATGAAGCCAGTCCATCCCACCCCAAAGTTAGAAAGGGGTTCTTATACCTCCCCCCCCGTCTCAGGAAAAGTTGGCATGCTATGATTGGTCATGACTGGTCAGGACTCGAGAGTAGTTGCCAGATAACAAAGGAAAGCCATGTTTCTATGACTCAGTGATAATTCAGGATACGGTCGGTGAAATGAATAAATTAAGCTGCTGATGTCACTGTTGCGAGCCAGGTAGGAGAATGTATATGTGACAAGAAGAGCGGGATCGGATGACAGAAAGCCAAAAGCTGCGGTGATGACGTGTAAATAGTAAAAAGGCCCATCCCTAATCTTAGCTATCGATACATTTTCTAGTTCCTGTTTACTTCTAGCACTCAGGAAGAACAACAGATTGTCGTTGTGACAGAAATGCACTGTAGATCCTGCTGTCAGGTCTGTTGGGGTAGATCTCTGCCACTCCCCTGCCCCTCTCTTTTTCTTCCAGCAACAATTATGCCAAATGTTACATGTTGTTTTTTTTTTTTTTTTTTTTTTTTTTCTTTCTTTTCTTTTTCTTTTCTGTTTTTTAGCCAGTTTAAATGTATATAATACTGTTCTCTTATGTTCTAGGGATGACACATTGAGGGGGTGAGAATAGCCAGATTATTTCTCTGGGTGGGTTTTAGCTATTAGTTGTATATTCAATTCTGTGCCTGGTGCCAAAATGTACATATGTGTGATAAACTCAATGGGAGACATTTTAGGGTAATCCAAGGTTTGGTTTCTTGCCCTTCCATGTTCCAAGGTGGGCAATAGAAGCACAGAAATGTTGGGTTACGAATGTGTACATGTTGTATATCTTAATTGTTCCAAATTTAATATAAAAAATCCTAACTAAGTAGAAGTATAATTTTACCATGTTTTAAGATTTCTGCCTCTGGAGTTTATTTGAAATTCATCTCTGAAAACTTTATTGTTAGTGTTATATTAAGATTTTATTTCTATTGTATAGTTTATGAACTCCTCAGTGTTAAAATACTCCTCTAAATCACAAATCGCACTTTTATTGGACCAATTTATTGTTTATGTTGGGTTTTTGTCTTAATAATAATTATCTATGTAATAATATAAGTCTTTGTTTGTCAGCTCTCGGGGGTCTATAGTGCCATTTCCCAGGGTTCCTCGTGAATGAAAGTTCGTTTGAATGGCTGCAGGTTGTTTGTTAAAATGCAATAATGGCCAAAACAAAACACTCCATTGAATTGAATGTAGGCATTTTAAAATGTGGAACTGTCATTGAATATGCTTTATGAACTTTGTTCCCTTTCAAAAGAGACACACACACACACACACCAAGTGAACACAAAGCCTAACCAGCCTGTTAAATACTGATGCCATGTTCCAGTGAAACCATACGTCTGACCAGTCCTGTAAGGAATGTATGCATGCTGTGCTGTGATCTGTTTGTTTTTATCAAAGGAATTATAATAAAATCATCATGATTCTTAAAGTTGACTCAAGTATCCTATTGCAAAGAATTTAAGCCTGGGGTTACACAAATGTGCCATGTAAGAGCACACAAGTGAAAAGTCACATTAGACGACAGCAGAGGGCGGTAGAGGTACAATGAAAGGAAATCTTTGTTGCACTTCACATCAGCCTGTGGTGTTGGGGACATCAGGTGGTGGAAGCTGTGTATTGCAGGTATCTCAAGTTTCACTGAGAAATTTGTCTAGCAAAAACTCTTAACTCAGTCGACCAGCTGCAATCATTTTAGAAATGGTTGTATTTTCTATAATATTATAATATTTTTTAAATATACATTAAGTATTACTCCAGTATTCAAATAAATAAAAATAAACCATGCACAATATCAATAAATTGAATCTGTTGCTTATTTTCCTACTGCTACTGTAGGAATATTTAATTTAGCTTTGTAGCTTTAATAATTAAGAGTACTGAACGTTTGAGTGTATCTGTCTGCACTTATTGCATAAACCATATCAAACAGAACCATTAGTTGTAGCACCTCATTTCCAAATATATGCCTTTACTGAACAGGGTTGTCTATCTAATCTCAGTAGGAGTATGAATGAAAAAGGTATAATCTCTCAGCATTTGAGGGGGCTTTTATTAATGTGTAGTGACAGCTGGCGAGAGAGAGAGAGAGGGGGATAACACAAAGGTCCACAGGTCAGATTCGAACCCTGAGCCACTGTAGCAGGGTCTCAACCGGGGTACATGGGATCCCAGCTCTACCAGGTGAGCTATCAGGGTGCCTCTGAGTGTATAGGTGTAAACCTTCTTAATCCCCCTATCCATCACATTAACACCGGCGGGTGTAGTGTTACAGACTGGCAATAGGCCCTCTCACATGACACAGCAGGGAAACCCCTCAATTAGTATTTTACACTTCTTAAAACAGATGCACCCGGATGTTGTCGTTTCTTGAACATGAACTATCTGTATAAGGGTCTTTAAAACTTGTTTTTAAAAAGGAGAAATGAATATTACTGATTGATTTTACATTGCATTTCATGGTTGTACCGATACTGTGTAAAAGCTGACAAATTATTCAGACTTTGTCTGATAAAGCACGTAGGGGCTTGTTTAAAACCCCCCACAAGGGTTATGTAGGGTAAGGTCTATACTGGTGGCTCCATATGCATATAGTTCCTCTAACCACAATTGCTGCATGTGTGTATGTGCACACAGACACACACACACCCAGAGAATGGGCTAGCAATGAAATGCTATCCCTTGATGGGTTAGTAACAGACACTGAAAATAACCTGCCAGGCCACAGCCTCCCTGAAGGGTGACCCTCACACACTGGTTTCTATGGAAAGACAGCAAGCAAACAGACAGTCAATAAACAGTCTGAAGAGGCTGTGTATTTAGCAGCTCAATAAAAAGTTTCACAACGTGTTGTTCTGAAATGCTGCTCTGGCTAACTGAGTCAAGCATATGACATCTGACTCAGCGGATGGCAAATAATTCTTAATGGTCACAGTCATTGTTGATGGGTTCAAACTTTATGGTTTCAAGTCTGTGTTTAGACATTCTGCTGGATGTTATGTACCAGTGTGTGTGTGTGTGTGTGTGTGTGTTGATAATAATTAGGTATCAGGTATTAAATCCTCACACAGACACATACACAGAGGGGTATTTTGAGGCATTCAGAGTGACCAGGCTAACAAGGAGCCATTTAACTCACTGACAGTCTGGGCTTGCTAATGTGCAGTGTGATGAAATTCCCATTTGGTTGCTGCTCCTGGGCAAGTTTCAATGTTTCCCCACTAATGGGCAGGGATTAAAATGTAAGAGTGAAATCTGATCTTTCATCTCTTCCCCTAAGGTCAACTTCAGCGGAGGGCTGCATACAAGTAGGCCATACCATACAAATAGTGAGCCTCTCAGGGGGGAAACTGGTAACTAGATATTTAGTCTACATGTGGAGCTCCTCTTGCCAGACGCTCTTTATGATGAGAATGTGGCCCAAAAGGGTCAAGAGGTTGTTCCATGTCAGTCGTACTGTAACATAAAGCTACGTATTCATTTAATGCCAGACAAACTATCATTATCCCTAAAATATTACACCCAAGTTAAATATAATGCAGTATTTCTGTGGACTTAATGATGTATGGAGAACAAATGTGTTACCTGATAGCCAGCGAACATGTTTCTGTGTCCGTGTCAACAATGTTCCCTTGAGTATGAAGGGAACATGACTCAGCCAGTCCGCAGACAAATGGAGAACCGTTTAAATCGGCAACAAGTTCAACTAGACAGTCCAGTAAAACAATGACAAAACCATAACAGAGTCTATAATTTGTTCTTGTGTGCAGAGAAATTCAAAGCAATAAATTAGAAATTGAATTTTCTTTGCAGTATCACCACATACATAAAGATAAATAACAGTGTTCCTTTATAAACCAAACAGGGAAAACAATATCCAAAATATAAGCATATTGTACAGAAGGAAATAAAACAATTTAAAGAAAAAATATGCAAGAAAAAGTCAATTGTGCAAGTAGCAGCAACACATTTTGCATCATGCAGTTGATCAGAGATGCAGTCTTACAATGAAAGACTCACTACAGGGATGCATGCCATGGATGATCCAATGGGGTGATAATAGGGTTGCCATGGCAATTGTTACCATGGGCAGGGGATGGAGCACAACAGTGAATGTGTGCTCCTTAAGGGTCAAGAGGGTTACAGTGGCAAGACAGAGGTAACAGTAATGGCCTGTAATGATGGTTCCACAGTGTCACTTTCTCACAACTTCCTCCGATATGTTACTGTTTTTGTTCTCTTTGACTATTTCCTCAGACAAACAAAAGATTTATTTCAGATCAGTGAATATGATTGTGAGAAACCACCAGCAGGATACATGTGTACATGCAGGCTCACGTTGGCTACAAACCCTGAAAATCTCCCGGTCACCATTTCCAGTCATAGTTGCCCTTGGAAAGTCACTGCATCCCTGCCACGCACTTGCCCTCAAAGGCAGCGTTGTCACATGTCCTTACATCAACATAGCTGCCTGCGAAGCCATTTTCTTCATCTAACAATTGTACACAGTAAAATTAGAAGTAAACCGTCTCTGAACTACTCAAATATTTGTGTTTTCAGTGCTTCAGCTCATCTCAAACATGTATTTTTATGCTACTCCATATTACATACACTGCACTATGTTGCAAGCAAAGACACTCATGAATCAATCCAGATCATGCTTTGTTGGGGGTTGTAGGAACAATTCTCAGGCCAGATAAACTGGAATAAAGCTGGCCCAGATCATTTCATTTAAGTAAAATTGTGCTTCTCAGCAAACATGATAGATTATTTTGCAGGGGAAGCTTGTCCACAACTCTGTGTGACACTCTGTCACAATTGTTCTCATCAACAAGTGCACTCTGATAGAAGCATGTGGGTCAATGAGGAATGTATTTTCTATAAAGTGCAAATTTATTAGCTGTCTGTTCTGTCACTTTCAGTTTTACATGACAAGCACAGAGTTAATAAGCAGCCACAGATGTAATTCCCTATGTATTTAATTGTCACAGGGAAGTCAGCTACAGCTGCCAGCCAGTGATATGCTGTGTATAAATGTCTGGGAAATTAAAGCATTAACACTTTTAGTTACCATCAACGAGTGCAGCCATCTGTGGAAAGAGCTTTTTGGATTACGTATGTGTCTGAACAGCTGCTTGTTGTGTAAGTATTTTCTGCCTCTCGTCATCTCTTGGGTTCTCAGTTCAGTTCCCCTCCAGGTGCCTTAGACATGACACCTCTGCTCGTCAGCTGAGCTCTCCTTTGATTCAGAGGAAAGCCAGCCTGGCCTAACATGCCGCTAAGTTGTGGCAAAGACTGAGCTGCGTGAGGGAATGCAGTCAGTTTGAAATGGTTTCCCATTTGTGTAGGTAGAGGCCAATAAATCATGGCAAAGGGGAGGTGAAGAACATGTAGCAAAGCATTCACCCAAGTGGCTGGTTGGGTTGTGGGTCATGGTGGGTTGGGTCTGTTGGAAACACACACCAGCGGCAGGGAGCCGTGGTCAAATAGCTTGTAGGGTAAAGAACCTTTTGAGGTCCAAACGTCAGTCTTGGGGTCGTAACACTCGAAGCAGTCCGAGTCCTCGATGACATCGTGGCCGTTGAGAATGCGTCCACCAGTGACGTAGAGCTTGTTGTTGATCACTGTAGCGCTGTGATGCATCCGCCGCTCCTTTAGGTTCTCACACTTAACAAATTTGTTGGCTTTGGTGTCGTAGGCAATCATTCGCCTGGTATATCCTGGAGATTGAGAGTTTGTATTCAGCCAACGTTAACTTTAATGATATGATATCTTATAATGTCCTCATTATCAACAAATCCAATGATAAAAACCAACAATGAATTGACAGCAAGTGTATCAAAGCCTGATTTAGCTCATTCCTCTGTGCTATAGAGCTCTATTGTTGTCCAAAATCTATTTAAAAACACCTCCCTGAGCCACACTGTTGCAGTGGGTGTGACAGTGAACTTGGGCACTGTAATTAGAGTCATGTCCACATACATCGTATGGTGCTGGAAATACTTACTAGAGCACCAAATGTGTAATAATCTGCCACTGAAATAAGTCCAAAACAAATGCTCTATTTATTCCTGTCTGAGTAACGTTTGCTAAAAACTGCAGCGCCCAGCTGTTTTATGAAAATACTTATCCATTTGTGAGGTGTTATTTTTAAAGATTTACATCTTCAGTATCAAGAGACAGGCTACTTCATCTAAAAATCAATTGAAATTCACACCTACTGTAAAGATGTTAATGACTACATTTGTAATATAAAACTATGTAACAGCTGGGGAAAAGCATTCATTGAGCTCACCTCCTATGATGTAGATCTTGTCTTCGATGACAGCAGCAGGAGCACAAACGTTTTTCACTGTCCTTGTCTCTAGCCTGGACCACAAGTTGCGAGATATGTGATAAACCTGGTGACACACCACAAACATCAACAGACAGTCAACCCGTTCACTACAGCATCAAAGATTGTAGTGTGCTGTCTGCTTGTGTGACATCCTAGTGTTTCTGAAGACTTTTTATTTAAAATGTTCTATCTGCAAATACTGACAATGAATACTGTTTAAGGCCATGTTTGTATTTGAGTGGCAACAAAACAGGAATGTGGACTTGAATTGATTTAGTACTGCTAAAATGAGGAGTCTTCTCTACCTGTATCAGCCTGACCGGATTCTGCATGGCGTCCTCCCCTCCGAAAACATAGATCCTCTGATCGCTGGCTGCAACAGCTGGATGTAGCACTGCTGTGGGCATTGGTGCCATGGCCTCCCATTGATTAAACATACTGTTATATCTCTCTACTGACTGAGAGATTTTCTTGTCTACCCCAATGCCTCCCAACACAAAAATGAAGTGCAAATAGGACACACTTTGGTGGGCATATCGTGGCTCCAACATGGGCTCAGCAGTCCGCCATTGGTTGGTCTTAAGGGAGAGTGTGTAAACTGTGGCGCTGACTGAGCTGTCACCAGATGTCATGCAGAGGCTGAGGCCGCCAAGCACATAGAGGATGCTATGAATACACACATACGCGGCTTTATAGAGGCGCAGAGGGAGCTTAGCCAACCACTGCCAACGATGAGTCCTTTCATCATATAGCAGGGCTTCTCGTGAGGTCTGTTCATTGTTTTTGCGTCCTCCAACCACCACCAGCGTTTCTCTGCAGGTGTAACGTCGTGGTGTGGTCCAGAGTGGCTTGAGCTCTCGGCTACACCTTGTACTGACTGTAAGCATGAGGCGGCGCACTGACTCGATTATCTCAGTACAGAGGGTGGAGGACTGCACCAGTGGGTCATTGGCAATAAACTGGAAGAGGTAAGTTGGATGGATGTAGCGCAGACGGACTTTCTTGAAGAGATCATGGATTGCACCACGTCGTGAGAAGGGGTCGTGGTGGATCCATGCTAGGAGGGTCTCAAACACTTGCTCCTCCTCAGCACAAAGTCGGTCGTCTTCGAGGTAACACATGAGCTCAGGAAGTGACAACTCACAGAAGTCCTCTGTCGCAGCTACATCAGAGAAACACCTCACGGCCATCTCCTTTGCCCTCTCCCGCAAACTCTCACAGTGAAGGATCTCAGACAGCCGTATCATGCTCAGACAGTTTTCTGGACTCAGCTGCTCCTGGAGGAACATGGAACAGGCCTCAAAGAGACCTCCGTAGTGAAGCATGGATGCAGCCTGCATGAGTGGGAGCACAATCTCCATGGTGATAGTGATGCAGCCGGTGTAGACATAGTCCACAATGCCGCTGAGGACATTTGAAGAGATTCCCTTCAGATTCACTCGGGCCTGACTGCTCTCTAGAAAGTTGCTGCAGAACATGGCACGGAAGTATGGGCTGCTGGACACCAGGACGTTCCTGTGGCAGGGGACCTCCTGGTGCTCCGTGCAGAGCAGGACGTCTGTCAGGATTCGCTCCTGCCGGAGGATGTTGAGCTGGGCAAGTAAGTGGGAGGGAAGTTCTGAGTCTTTGAAAAAGAAAGCTTCTCGTGGTCTACAGGCCATTCTGTAGAAAGGGTGAAGAGAGAAATAAAAGACTCCATCACCATAGTGTTGTCTTTCTATTGTCAATTAGAAAGAGATGGTTGACAAAAACGTGGGTACTGATGACATTACATAGTTCTACTATAGTGATAACCTGATAACTTAGATGTTGCTACTTAGATCAGAAAAGTCTTAGAAGTGGAGGTATATTGTTGAAGTTCAGTTAATGTATATATACCTCTTTTAAAGAAATAGCTTGACATTTTAGGAAATATACTTATTCATTTTCTTTTGAAGAATCAGGGGAGACGATCTATACCACTCCGATGTCTGTATGTTGGGAGGCTACAGCTAGGAGACAGATAGCCTAGCTTAGCATAAGGACTGGAAACAGGGGGGAAACAACTAGCCTGGCTCTGACCAAAGGTAGCGGCTCACTAAATAACACATTGTATCTCATTTGTTGAATTTGAAGTATCAAAACAACATGTTGTGGTTTTACAGGAGGTTATGTGCTGGACTCTTTCTTGACCAGGCAAGTCTCACTGTGAGGTTGCCAGGTAAAAAGAGCAGACTCCAGGAAGTCATCATGTATTTCCTAAACTTTCAAACTTACAGGAATGTAAGGACCAAAAATACATAGTGATGCCTCTACAAAAAGACTTTAAGCGTTTTAAAAAGGTGTTTTAAACAGTTCTCTACAGAGACTTTTTGACTGAACAGAAATTGATTAGTATTTAAATAAATATATATCTACAGCACAGCATACTCTGTGGAATTACCTGATAATGCAGGGTGGCACAGTTTCATTTTGTCTTTCTTCCATTTGACATTTTATCTGTCTTTCACCTTTGCCCTCAGACTAACTATGCAGATTCCTCTGATAGCAAACTCTTTCATTTATTAGCCCACTCTCAAACTCTTAAAACTCCTGCAGAGCAGCTGTCCTTAATGTAGCGATTACTGACTCACAGATTTCTATTTTTACCCCATCTAAGTTATCTTGATGCATCCATGTAGCATTAGGCCACAACTCCCTTATCAGGCAGTCCATCACTGCTAACATTAACAGAACTGTGTCAACACACCATCTGTGTTTGTCTCTCCATCCCCCTGAATTTCTCTCTCTGGACCTCTCGCTCGCTCGCTCTCTCTGTCGTTATATATATGTTATGTATTTCCTCCACCATATTCCTCATCTCTCATAGTCTCAGTCTGCCTCTCCTTGGCTGCAGGGTTTGTGGCGATCCTGCTGTTTAAAGAGTGGGAATTTCATTGGGCTATTAGCAACACTAAGTCTTCTAATCACCTCTGCGACAGCTACTGATTCACTCCCACTTATGGGGCCCAGCCTGTCTGATATATTTGGACCTCTGATCATTATTGTACGTTATGATATGCCAATGACTGTGAGAGACATTTTCATAACTCAGTTTCCCCCACTTTAAAACAAGAAACCAAGAGTTACTCGTGATATATTGCATCAGATATAAAAACTTGAGTTACGTATAAATATATATTTAATCACTTTCTTGTTCATCAATAATGTTTCTGAACATTTATCATATACCAACCAATATGGCTTTGTGTGCTCTTTTGTGACGGATCATACATTCTTTCAAACTCCTATTCATACTGTAACAAAAAACCAAAGCAAATATAAATATAGTATCACAAAGTATTCCAGTAATAATTAAGTAATTGTAAATGTGGCACAGCTGGATTTAATTGACAGTGTCTGACTTCCTTAAACCTGAAAGTAAGCATTCATGATCAAAATGAACTAAAATAAGGTACAGTTGAAGTAGATACTGAAGCTATTGCTGAACAAATCCAACATTTGTACTGTTACACAATAAGAACGTAGTACTGAAACACTTAAATATCATATTTGTGTCAAACGTCTGGCTGATGAACTACCTACAGGTTCATCAGCAACATCTGTGACTGAGTGAATCCTTACCTCCTGCCCTCAGAAAATCAATAATATCCAAAAGGTCTGGTGGGTCTGGTCAGAAAAAATATCAGTTCCAATCAAAAGAAAACCAAAACAATATCCCGAGAGAAAGTGTGTAGAGTAGTCAGGGAGAGAAAAGGAGCATGACACAGAGAAACGACGAGGCTCTCCAGTTAGGCACTGTGGAGCTCGCCATGAGGCCACTGTATACATTCCTGCAGCTAAGAATAGTATCGTGGGCCACTGTGACTTCAGCCAGGCCTCTCATGTGACACAGAGCTGTTTGGTACCCAGTTGCCGGCTTAACAGCTCTGCCAGGGTCCAGTGGAGAGAGTGTTTACAATAGCCAGAGGAGGGAGAATCATCACAGGGTCCTGACTCAGCCATCGAGCCCACCCAAGCTGGTGTTTAATCAAAGTGTCCCCGAGCTGCTAACCCTTGTCCACCTTCCTGTGTTGTTTAAGCCCTCCCCTACCTCCTCTCTCTCTGTGTAACCCAGGATGAAGGTAAATATAGACCAGTGCTGATGGGCAAACTTGATCAGGAGAAACAGCTGTAAGAACTTGACTCAAGTCTGCCTCAAGATGTGCTGGTGTTTCTGTGTGTCGTCTGTGAGTATGTACAACTGGAGATGTTACTACTACTACTGACTGGTCTCAGTTACCTTGTAGCGATGTGTCTCATGTTGCCATAGCATCCAATACCCTCAATCTGAGATGTATTGGAGATATACGTACTGTGGTCTCAGTGGCACATTTGCCCTAATAATGATATTCATGATATTCTTTACTACAGTATACAAAATTTAAAAATATTACCCAATTAAAATGGAGTGATATTGTGGAGAACTCATTGGATTATAGAGGAACGGGGGTCCCGAGCTAAATGTGGTTACTGCTGCCATGTTTCGGCAGTTGAACATGTTTAATGTAAACTAGCAGCTGGAGGAAATGTTCAGTTACTTACATTATAATTAGTAATGCAACTTTATATAACTCCGATAAGGTGTTAAAGGACCAGTATGATTTAAAAGCATCTAGCAGTGAAGGTATCGATTGCAACTAACTGAACACTGCTTATGTCTATATTTGAAAACGAGGAAAAAGGCCCTATAGCCAGTGTTTGGTTTGTTCCTTCTGGGCCACTGTAGAAACATGGCAGACTCCATGGAAGGTGACCCACGGCATCTATCAATAAAACGGCTCATTCTAAGATAATGAAAACACAACAATTCCTATATTCCGGTGATTATACACTAATGAAAATATGCCAATGAATATTATATTTAATTTCTAATAATAGATCATCCTAAATGTTACACGCTGGACCTGTAAGAGGGTGAGTGAGGCTGATATCAATAAGATAAAATTACAATTACATTTCATCATCATTTTTTTTCTGTGAATCCCTTGTACATATTTGAATCCTGGGTGGCAATGGTGGACTCCGCCACTGACAATGAAAACTACCATATCAAGAGTCATTACAGAATGTGAATGTAAAAAATATTTGTTTGTCCTCATTACATAACATGCCTTCTTTTTTCATGTTTTTAGGATGTAATAATAGACAAAAATGCCTTGATATGATGGAGATGTTTAACAGTGTTATGCTGACAAAATTACGTTTTTCTTTTATGACTTATTTTTCTAATTAATCAATTCAGGTCTCTATAAAGCCTTCAGAGAAGGAAAACTGCTCACATGTCCACATCGAAACCAAAGCCTTTGACAAGAGGTGACATGCAGACACTTCACTTTAAGGGGCCACAAGCCAACAAAAGCAGCAGATTCTCAAACCTTACTGAGATATGAAAATTAATCAGAACAGAATGTCTTGATTCTCTGATGGGCAAGATTAAAAGAGAAATTGTTTCCACTCGTACTTTCTGGAGACAGATATAGTTCTTGGGTATTTGTGCCTCCTTTTCCTCGCAGCTGATATCTCTAAGTTGTCATTCCTGTATCTCACGAGGGGGCCTTATCTCGCACTTGTACTCCTTGCAGTGCCGGAGGCAGTGAGATGAAATATTGTCATGTTTGTTTAGTAGCACATGACAAGGAACTGGAGTTACATCTGGACAGATTGAATGACATAGCTGCAAGAAAGTGAGCTGTCAGCAAGTCAGACATCATGACATGTGAGCAGACGCAGCTTTGGTGGACTTTGTCACACAGTGAAATCCTACACTCTGTTACCAGTTACCAAGTGACAGCTTCATGCTCACAAGTCATGGTGTGTACGACAGACTCCTACAGGGGCGAAGCTGAAAATCGGACATAAACCAGTTTGTTAAAGAAATGCAGGCTGAGGTGAAAGATGAAGATTAGAATATTCCACTTACACTTCATCAGGCTCAAAACCTTCTTGATCCAGTGATATTTCTAATATAATAAGATAAAATTGGATTTATTGGAAGCTGTTTAAAAAGCCAAGTGAAAAGGGAATTTCTGTTTCAAAGAAATGTAATAATGTGTAACAATAAGTACTCAAATTCTGCAGAAACATTTCTTTAAAAGTATATTTCAGTATAAATAGGTATAGTTTTATTGCAAACATGAGGCTTTCTTCTGGTAGGAATGTATGATAAATATGGTTCAGTTAAGAGCATGACGGGACACACATCAGGTTGTCAGTGGCAGACAACCCCACAGTGTTTTGAAGTAACACTGCAGAATTTTTATGTGAGAGCTCCTCAGCCTTGGGACCAGTACAACAAGGGGGGGTCAAAGGATATGTAAACAGGATTTGATGCTTTCCTTGATGTTTTTATGTTTTGAATTATGTTTTGTCAGTGAATAAATAAAAATTAACTTTAAACCTGACCTTGACAATTTGAATAATAATTTCCATATTAGCAATTTCTATATAAAATGAAAAATTCCTCCATGCTTTTGAAAAAAGAGCACCTGCTTTGTTGACTTTTTTTGGCCCTGAATTTTTCTGTTAAAATCTAGTTTTAGGAACTTAATCATTTCAGTTTTGTGCTTATACGGTAAGTTGCACATTCTTAAGTTAATTTATGTTTAATCCAATTAATTACAACGCAGTAAAATGGGCCAGGGTAATGTTATTTCACAACAGACAAACTGTACACATTACATAATGAGGGAGAAATAAAGTCTTTTATACTTTTTGTCAACAAATCCCATTAAAAGACGAAAACCAACAATAAGTGATCCTATATTGTTTGTGTATCCAATGCAATATATCTTATTCCTCTGAGAACTCCTTTGTTATCCTGAAACTATTAAATGCACATCACTGAGCTACACTGTTGCACTGGGAGACATGAAGATACTAGAGTTTATTTGGAGTCAATCCCACATATACTGTCCTGCTGTAAATACTCATAGAGCACCAAAAGGTGCATTAATTAATGGGTGAAAAAAACAACAACAAATACACTTCTGTTTGAGTAATTTTACTAAAAACTACAACTATTTTTAGAAAATTCCATAGTTTTTAAAAAAATTAAAGTAGCCTAAACATTCATGACCCGTTTTTAAAGACACTGATCCCAGAAAAGAAGAAGTAAACACTAAATCTATTTAAAAAAGTCTATTAAGCATGCGTGATTGTAAGGAAAAACAAAGAAACATATTTAAGACAGGGAGTAGAATAAAAAGTTCCCTAAAATGATCAGGAAAACTCATCTCTGCTAAAAAATAATACAAATCATTTGTTTTACACAAATTTCCTGCAGTTATCGTGTTCACTATTTGTTTTTATTGTATAGTTTATTAGTTGTTTATTAGTAGTTTGTTATTATTATGCATTGAATATATTATGTAATATCCATACAATATGTCTCTATAGTCAGGGGCCATCAGTTTACTCAATGATAGAAAGAGGATCCCTTAAGGAAAAATGTTGGGGAACCACTGCTCTAGACCACAGAGAATAGGAGGATGGAGAAGGAGGATGTGTCTTTGAAAGTATCCATGGTGATATCCCAAGGATCAGGCTACACTCTCTGGTTCGCTGATAAACGCACAAGGATGAGTTAAACATTCCTGGCTGACAACAGAGATCACAGTTTCCAAGGACCATCTACTATCTCTGCTGTCAGGTGTGTTTCTGCAATGGACGAGTTGCAGGAACTGAGTTGTTTTCAGCTTTACAATGAAGTATTTATTATGTGGGTGTGTTTAGGTCCTTTAGCAGACAGATTGTAGAAATGTCTAAATCATGCAAATCTCCAACTGAAGAAATTAAAAGGTATTAGTACGTATATATTAACCATGTTTTTACAGTTGTACCCAAACACAAGCGATATGTCCTTTTCTGTGGCTGACTTCTGAAAGATGTCATCAGTTCAAAATCATGTTCATAGGCAATTCTACAAAAAGTAGGAAAAGTATTAAGTACCACCAAGTCTTGAGATAAAATGTTTTTTTTTTTTTACAGCTGACCCCATAACCCTGACCCCAATAAAATACAATTCAATACTTAACACATAAAAAAACAGCCTCAAAACTGACAACAGTATTGATTTAACACAAATAAAGCCAACACTATAACACCCTGTTCACACTTAAACAAAGGAGAGAATTCCTTTCATTGTGAACTGAACCTTGGAAAACTGGGGTTGGGCAATATGTTAAAGTTTTCCAGCCAGCTACCATCAGTGCAACAACTGGCGATTGCAAATATATTCCAGCATGCATTTGCACTTAGCTCTCTTAGCCTTATTACACAAAATAACACACAAAATGTAAAAAAAATATATATTAACACACAAATATTCTAACACCTGTTTTCCTCGTGGAACAGGGAGATACAACCCTCTTTTACCAAATTAAGACCAGCCTAATTGCCTTGTTAACTCATTGTAAAACAGACTTCAGACTTGACAGAAACAAAATAAAACTCACCAAAAGCGTCTTTTTTTAGTCTTTCCACTGTTCCAACAATCACCAACTCTAGACTCTTTGTCGTACCTGGAGTCAGAGTCCTGGTTGAAGTCGCTGTTAATCGCCTTAGTGTTGTATTCCCTGTCATAAAACTGGTAGAAATAAACCCTTAGTTTATCAAGTTAGATGGGCCTGAATGATGACTTTCGCTCTTTCTTTGGAGGCAGACTATTAAATTAGCAAAATAAAATGACAAAAATCACCCAAACAAAAACAACTGGCAATGAACTCAGCCAATCCCAACATATTCATCCAATCGCCCACACCTTTTTCAAACAAAATGGGGGCTAAGCTGAACTCATCCTGGTAAACTTTTCATGCCAATTATGTGGTATTCAGTAACTTTCATTGGGACTTGAATATGAAAAGGTTTGTGCACCAGCATAATGGCAACGTGAGAAAACAACTGCCCAATCAGAGCTGCGTATGTTAATTACAACACATATATTTATATATTGGATCATATATTATATTCACCCATATCCAACAAGACACCGCAAATGAACCAGAGTCAGCTTAGAAGGCTAAGTTTAATCAGTTTTCCCAGACC